GAACAGTGAAAGACATGTAGAAATAAAGTTCTCTGTAGTCAGGAGTGGAAAACAGCCCAGAGGCTTTAATCGTCTTACTCTTGTTAATGTGTGAAGCATCCTGAGAGACTGTGAACAAGTAAATACATCCTACCATGGCACAAAGACAACGTACATTCCTAGAAATTATGAGTCAGTATCACTTGGTATTATTTCTACATCTCTATCTGTGCGACAATTATTTTTCCACTCTCTGCTCTCTGGCTGTCAGAGCAATAACTTTCCCCCCAGCTCTGTAACCAGTCTGATGCTGACTGCTGTTCATTAACATCCATTTAAATGAGAGAGGGAGAGAGACCTGTGTTTATTGTGGAGATTATAAACAGTAATAGATTCTTTCTGAAGACGGTCATTTGCTCCTGGTATTTGCCTGCACTAAGCTTTGGGATTTTAGTTTCTGATCAGAGTGGCATTAACATTAAACACTCAAAGAAGTGCTCAAAGCCTCTGTTAGAAATGTAAGAGCTCTTTTCTCCCTGGGTTGATTTTAGCCCTCATTTTGGGTCTACATGTGACTGCTAAGCTGTGCAAGGTCTAAGTCCTCTCCACACAGTGGATCTCTTTCTAGCTATTAGATATCTCTTGTAATCAGTCAGCTTCTTATCTCAATCTGTCTTGCCTGCATTGGAAATGCCATGGGAATTTCCATGAAGGCTTTCAGCCCTGAATTCCCAGTTGGGTGTCAATCTAAACTGGAGCTGCATCCAGGAATTCTCATCAATAGCTGATCTCCCGAGATCGCCTAGTACTGGAGCAAGGATTTTACAGGAGTGCAGCAGGCAGTTGCAGTGAGACCAGGCTGTGTGCCAGCTCCTGGCTGTGGATCCCAACAGCCTTTCCTACCCATCCCAGAGCTCTGCTGCGCATGGTGTGGCACCCCATCTCTCAGGATGTAGTGTCAGCCTCCCTTTGCTCCCTGATTACTCCAGCTGCCTGCCTTCCATCTGAGCCATGTAAAATGAGCTGTTCCTTAGCCTTTTCCCCACCCCATCACCCTGCATTAACTCCCCAAGAGAAGTCTTGAGGAAACCTCTACCTTCTCTGCCATCCCACACTGACTGTGCTGATGGCCTGCCCATACAGGCCCTGCATCCCTCCCACTGCTGCCTGCTCTAGCTCTTCTGGAGCTACACTCCAATTCAATGTGGCAGTGAAGTCCCCATCCTGAAATCCCCATTCAGTGTGGAAACTGAGTGAAGACCTTTTTTCATTGTGAGAAGGTAACATTTAAAGGCATCCCTTGGGTTACTCTATCTGGCAGCCCAGCTGGTCTTTTGTGCGAGTGCCACTCTTTTGAAATGCCAGCTCTGGTCTTCAAGGCAGCCAGCAGAAGGTACAGCTGGCTCTGCCTGTAATTAATTCCTCATCACTCATCGCTTGCTTTTATTCTCCCTTTTGATTAGGAAGAAGGAGTAATATGGGTTACAAGACAAATGCAAAGATTGCCTTGTATGGGAAGAGGTAACAACAGGATTGCTGGTGTCCTGTGATTTTTTTTTTGTCTGTGTCTGGTCAGCTGGAGAGATATAGCAGCAAATAGATGGTCTACCCTTTTGTGTGTCTCACCAGCAACTATCCTTAGAAAATGCCAGGCAGGGGAAATGGGGAAGGGGAAACAAGGAGAGAAATAGGTAACAAAACAGTCCAGCTTGCTTTGGGCTCTGATAGAGGAAACCAGGCATGCTTGTAGTGCGAAAGCAGGCAAAAAGGGTGAATGCAGCACTGCCACTGGAGACCATCCCAGATCACCTCCATTGATGAGGAGTTGGAGAGCAGGTCACACTTTGATTCTTCTTCAGTTTGTAGTCACTGGAAAGGAAGATGACTTGGAGATTCCCGTAGTCCAAATCTGCAATGTTTTATGGCTCTGCCTTGAGCGCAGATCTGGAGGTTTCATTTACAGGTACATCCATCACAGGCTATGTGCCCTTAACTTGACTGGCAACTGGTGGCACACTGACACATGGTAGAAGGGAGTAAAGTAGAAGGGCTGCACAAACTTTAATATCTACAACACTGTAGACTCCATTCAGAAGGGATAGAGGTTTCATCACTGTTTCAAGTCCAGGACCCTCTTCCATGCCCCCCAGAAGCATATTCCCAGTGACAGTGTTACTGGAAAATGGAGATACTGTATTTCCTTCCCAGACTTGGGGAAGCTTTGTAATGTAGCAGGGATTGCAGGTAGGGCTGTGAGATCTGGCTGCCCTTCACAATTCTGACTGATTTCTGAGATAGCTGTGGGCATGCTGCTCTTTGTTTTGACCTTCAGTTTTCCATGTGTAGACAGAAGTAGTGAAACACTGCATGTTGTGAGAAGATAATGGAGCTTCCTTTCCAATTGTAAACCATTTGAAGAATGCCTGCTCATATTCAGTATTGTTGTATTAGGGAATTCAAGGGCCAAAAGGTTGTTTTACTTGATGTTGCAAGGACACGGAGCTGTCAGCCAGGATGTGCTCAGGCTTGGTTTGGGTTTAGGCCAGGCATTCACAGCCAGTGCTTTGGAGGCACTAATTTGCATTCCAGATGCTTCTCTGGATTTCTTTCTCTCGCCTTTGCTTTTTCCTTAGAGCATCAAAGTTCGTTTGCTGCATGATTTGTCCCAGTGCTGGCTACTCAGCCAGGCTATTGTGCAGCAAATCCTAGCTACAATTCCCCAAGTGAGGATAGATTAGACAATGGTTGTTTTTAATCCTTGCTTGCTAGCAGCTTCATATTAATTCTTCATTTGCTCTCAATCCCTCTCCTCACCGGCTCTGGTGTCTGTAATTAGCTGCTCTGAACACACTCCTGTTGACATTGATCTGTGGGGTTATGTAGTTCCTGCGTGAGCTGTCAGTTTGGACAAGGGTTTCCATGAGGACTAGGTATCCTTAGAGAGACTTTTCTTCATAGGAAGCTGCTGAGGGCAGGAAAGATGCCAAGAAATCAGCAGCTCAAAGCTGGTTTTGCCAGAGACTCCTATAGTAACTTCTCTTATCTGTGGCACTGTGTTTCCAGGAGGGAGGTGTCACTGGTTTGGATTCCCCAAAGTTGTGCAGTGCCAGCTGGTCTCCAGAGAGAGAAAACCAAGCTATTTTTCTACTTGTCCTGGGCTGTGGTGTGTATCCCAAACTGAGTACCACCAGGGAAGGGGATATGCTTTGTCCTTCAGGCCTTCATCTAATTTTCTCAGCTTGTCTAACAGCTAATGCTTCGAATATTTCCAGATGATAATGTGTTTTCTATCCTTATTTCATTAAATTATATACATAATTTATTTTTAACCTTTTCTTGTAAGTCATTCACTAAGAATCTAAACATTTCATCATCTTTACTATGCTCTGAACTCCCTGTGATGTATCTTTCCTTTTCTGACAGGCTGGCGTTTGATGTGAGTATTTCCCAGTCCCTGTCCTTCACACAGTGCCCCTAAGGTGGATGTATCAAGAATGAAGGATTTGGGGGGATCATGTAGGAAGGAGGTTATACAGGAAAGTCTGTTTCCTTGTCTCTTCCCCTGTCCTCTTTCTCCTGCTTCTCCAGAGGGCATACCCATGTGGGAATGGCAGCATCCCAAATGCAGACAAACTACAGATGGATAAGTAAGGGTTACTATTTCCTCCATACTCTCAAGTGTAATATATCTGCGTATAAAGACCAGAAACACTGATGAGCAACAGCATGACTTGAATTGTGATTGATTGATTGATTGATTGATTGATATCTTAAGAAAAAAAAAAGTGTTTCAGGTCAACCTTGATTAAATGTTTAAAAATGTTTTTTTCACTGAAGTAAAAAAGGAAAAGAAGTAATCTAAGGGCATACTAACAAAATGCTGCAGGAAGACAAAATGAGGTGGTTTTGTGTGGGGGTGGAGGGTAGGAAGCTGTGACACTGTTTTCAAAGTGAGAACTGGAAATGCTTTGAGATTTGTTGGCTTTGGTTTTGGTTTAATGATTGACAAAACCTCTTGGGAATTGCTTTTTTTGAAAGAACTTGAAGTCAGCATTGATTCATAGGATCTTTGTGAACCTCTGAAAACATTGAGCTGGGATGGTACCACATGGTGTGGAACAGGCAATGCCATGTGGTACTTCAAAGAACAGCTGCTCACTCTAAGACTGCTCCCAGGGCAAGTGGTGAATGAGGATGCTGGTTGTATTTCCACAGCTGATGGCCAGGGCAAGAACAGGGAGAGCCCTGTTAGCTGCATTGCATATTTCAGGTGTCAGTGGTGAACAGGGAGGCAAATATGTGTTCTGGGGTCCCCATTTCAAGTGGAATGTAGAGAAATTGGTGGGGTCCAGCAGAAGGGCATCAGGATGGTCAAGGGCCAGGAGCAGAAGTCTTTAGGAAGAGAAGTTAAGGGAGCTGAATTGTCTCAGTCTGGCAAAGAGAAAGTTCTATTGGCCATTGGCCCCCAACTGTTTCAAGGGCAAATTCAAAGATAATGGAACCAAAATCTTTTCATAGTATTAAATTATATGATAAGGAACGATGTCCACAACTGGTAGTGCTAGAGGTTCATAACGGACAACAGGAAAACTTGATTTCCTCAGGGAAGTTTAAGAATTGGCCAGGCAAAACCATGCAGCACTCATGTAGAGCAGGAGACAGCTTCAAGAAGGAGGTTAGATGGGGGCCTCTGGAGGTCCCTGGTATTTCTGCCACCCACTTCTCATGCCACCCCAGCCATGCTGCACACCACTTTTCCTCATCCTGTCCCTCTTTGTCTGTATCTGTGCTTCCCTAGGAAAGGCCAGGTGGATGAAATACTGCCAGTGGCACTTATCCATGAACGCAGGAAAAAGCTGGCTCCCTTCAGAGATAACCATTGGGGCTCTGCAGTCTGTCCCTGGGCCAGCTGGACTTACAGCTGTAGTTCAAGGCTGAGCCCAGACATGTGCCAGGAGCCAGCCAGCAGGCAGGCTTGGCTGCCTGCACCAGCATGCCAGAGGCCTCTTTCTCTCTTACAGGCTCCTTGAACCTGCTAGTTCGTGTGCGGAACAAGCGAGCCATTGACACCCAGGTCTGGTCCCTCAGTGGGAATCGGGGCAACATGTGGCAGCAAGCACATGTGCCCATCAACCCGCCTGGGCCCTTCCAGGTAAGCCAAGGCCACAGTCAAGGAGCCACCTGCCCTATCCATGTGCCATGGATGTAGATTTCCTGGCAGGCATCTTCCTGTGTAGCACAGAGACTGGTGGTGCACAAGGGACGGCACTGGGAGCTCTCAACCCCCAGGGTCACTGGGACAAGGCAAAGGCTTAGTGGATGCACAGAAGTCAAATCCACTTCTCCCTGAGGTTATTATGGGCAAGCATCAGTTTGGCACTATAAATTTTCTGATTATTACTGCTCTGGAAACTGCTTGTCAGAGAGCTCCTTTTGGCTATGTCTGTGTGATGGACAGATACCTTGGTGCTGGCCTGTTGGTGTAAAGTGACTGAATGCTAGAGATTTTTTCTAGCATGTGCTGTGAAGCCCACCTCTGCTGCACCCCTTGCTTAGAACTCTAGGAGTGCTTGTGAATAAGAACTGGGCACTCTGCATTGCGCATTGAGTTGTTCCTGTGTACCCAGGCAGTGGGGTGCTTTTATGGCTGAGGTTTTTACCCAACAGGCTACTTTGCTGTTGTATGATTGTCTGTGAGAGCTTCTCTGTACAGGCTGGTTAAGTTGTGGCACTGTGGCAAAATGCCCAGTGGGCTTTTGGATGCTTCAAAATAGTAAATAAGAATGTAGTTACTCTTGCAAATTCTATTTGGTATTGGTTGGCTTGTTAGAGCAGGACATGTAATAAAGCAGAGCTCTAATGCTCATTTATTACTGCACAGATGCTCAGCACAAAGGTTGGTCCCATAAATAGTTGGGTTTTCAGACCCTATGAATATTGGAGAAGCAGGAAAGAAATAATTATCTTGGGGGCCTGATAAGATCTGTCTCTGTGTCCTGCTTACCTCTGCAAAGCCCTGAAGTGCAGGAAGGGCCCTCCACACCTGCAGCTTCATGCTGGGCTCTCTCCCATGCTCTGCTTGTAGATCATTTTTGAAGGTGTCCGGGGCACGAGCTACGAGGGAGACATTGCCATTGATGACGTCACTCTGAAAAAGGGAGACTGCCCAAGGAAGCCCATTGGACCAAATAAGGGTGAGACTGTGTCTGCCTCAGAGGCAAACAAGTTGGTAGGAGTGCATTCACAAATGTGCATGCTAGGGATGCGCAGCTGGTTTCAGAACACACTGACGTGGGACTAATTGACCCCACCAGCAGAAGTCACCAGAGGGGCTGTCAGACTCTTGGACTTGTTCTATAGAATCGAGAGCTAGCAAGTCAAAGGAGCAACCAGGAGGTGTCATCCCCAAGAACCTAAGGACTTCCGCACAATCTCATTTCCTGGAAACCCTAGTTATGGAAGCCTTGTAAAGGGAAGGACCTCGTGCAGGTATTAAATGGCCTCTGTAGTGTTAAGTCAGTCCTACTCCAAGAAAAAAAATCTGCTCTTTGGGGCATGGAACAAAGGAGGGCTGTGCTTCTTTCCATTGCCATCTGAGCAGAGAGGCACAGCCAGGTTAAATCCCACCAGCCCCTTTCCAGTCCACCCACCTAGACTGGAAACTGATGCCAGCACTGCAGTAATAGAGACAAGTCCACTCCTACCAGGGTGCACCATGGATTGAAGCCACAGTGAGGTGTGTGTAAGTAGTACATAGACATTGGGTGGAAATCACAGGTGTGCCATCTGCCTTAGTCCTGCCTGTGCCCTTGATAACATGCCTCAGGTGGGCCAGAAAGCAGATGTTTAGAGTATACAAACCAGAGCCAGAGAGGTACTTGAGAACAAGGTTCAGTTTGGTTTATTTATTTTTGAAGCAAGAAAACCTTCAGAGTAAGACTCACTTCTAGCAATTTTATTAACTCCAGAGATGAAGAGGGAAACAAAAGTCAGAGCACTCTAAAATTTTCAAAATTTTAGGTGCAGTTAAAGGTCTCTTTTAGCCTAGGATGTAACCATAACACAATAAGAGTCTTTTGTTTAACTCAGGTTGGAAGTTGTGGGGAAGAAAGGAGGAATGGATTGCAAAAGTGTCTAAGATTCAGTGGTTTTCCAAACTTAGTTTTGGGGAACTTTGAGAACATCCAGGAAAGGCTCAAAGTATCTTCCAAAAGCTCAGGGAACTCTCTGTGCTTCAGAGTGGGAGAAGACATGGATGTGTGCTGACTTGTTTGATGAAGTCTGTATCTGTCCCATCACTAATTCTCTTTCTCCCTTCTCGGCTGGCAGCTGTTGTCCTTCCAGGAAGTGGTGTCTCAGCTCTGCACAGCCCTTGGCTTTGTGGCCCATTGACTTTCTTCATTAACGTGCTGCTCAGATGATGGCAAGCGAGCGCTCCTGTGTTCGGACCAAGACATTCCTGCTCCTTTCCTACTCAGCCACCTCTGCTCCTCTTCCTCCCTTCCTCACTGGCACACCAAAGTGTCCATATGTTACCAAAGACTGACAGGCATGACCATGCAAAGGGATCTGGTTCAGAACTGGAGCACTCCTTGAGAAAGTCATAATGTCTAGAATAAAATTTAAAAATAAAGACAAAACTTTTTTTTAAAAGCACATGCATGAGAGAGAGGAAGGAAAGAAACACACACAAAGAAAAGAAGGAATGAAACACAAAAAATAGGAATGAAGAAATGTGAAGAGCAAATGAATGAAGAAAAAAACCACGCCCATGTTTCCTTGAGAATGTTGAACAGGGCTTCCTCAGGGAAGTGGGAACTTGTTTTAAACAAGCAAAAATATATTAAAGCACAAATTTCTACAAGAACAGTTACCTTCTTTGCTGCAGTGCCCACAGCTTAGTGGATTATATCCTGCAGTACTCCCCTTGTCTCCTCATGCTTTCCTGTTGGCTGGGGCTGCCCTGCTCTGGCTGCAAGCTCCCTGCAGTAACACCAGCCTCATCCGTGGGCAGCAGTCGCCCTGCGTGCCAGCGCGCCTTTCCTCACACTGCATGTGCTTCAGTGTCTCCATCCATCCATCCATCCATCCATCCATCCATCCATCCATCCATCCACATCTTCCAGGCTCTCCCGTATTTGATTGCCCCCAGTGTGGTTTGCTTCGGCCTTTCCCCACCACTCTGTGCTTCTTGTCCCCCAGCCTGAAGAAGATGGAGCAAGGAAGGGACCAGTGACATGGACCACACTGAGTGGTGAAGTCCTGGCTGGACCCAGATGCAGCACTGGCATCCAAGAGCCTCTCTGTCTTTCAGCACTCTTGCTGGGTAGGGAGCAGATCTGAGCTGCAGACAGAAAAGTCTGGTCTCTATAGGGCTGAGGGATGGGATGTGATGGGAGGGGACTAGAAGGGTGGAGCAGTTGCACATTGGCTCCCCCCTGTGAATATTGGGATGATGACCACCTCAGCCCTAAACCCAGGATTGTTTCTCTGCCTATATTTTGTTACCTATTTATTTTGGTTTTTATGCCATTGCTTAACTTCCTCCACCTCAAGTTTTCTGGATTATGAGAAGAGTCAGGCATTTAAATGTTCTTCAGCCAGGCAGCAGGTCCTGTGTCCATGACCCAGCCCCTGGGCTGGCAGTTCAGGCAGCTCCAATTCTGCCCTCTCACCTCCTGAGGCCTTCCTGCATGCACAGTGCATTTACTGCAGTGTGGGCAAAAGGTGGCAACAGCATCATTGCTCAGGGCTGAGGTGGCTGAAATTTGTCAGTACATGGAGTCACACAGGCACTCAGTTTCCACTGCCAGGGCAGTGGGCAGAGGAGCTGAAAGGTGGAACAGGCAGGAAACTGCTGCAAGAAGAATGGAGGCAGGAAGTTGGCCCAAAAGAGGGGCTTGTGCTGAACTGTGTGGCCCTGTTTGCCACTGAGGAACAGGGGAACAGCGATGGGGGAAATTTACCTTTTTCTTGATGGTATCATGAATGGGTAAAGCTGGCGTTTCTCTCAGCTGCAGACCTGTAGCAGGTCTGGCCTAACCTCCTCAAGGTGGAGGCACGTGCTGCTCCTTCTCCCCAGGAGGAGTTGCCCTGCACCAGCCAGACAGGAGCTGTGATAGCCTTGTTGCATCTGGAAGCAGCTCTGGGTATGACTTACCTCCCTGCACAGGGCAGAGTTAGCCCCACAAGGCTGTGAATTGGGGTTTACTAGACTACACTGGCAATTAAGTGTGACACTTCCTCCTAAAGGACACCCCCTCCAAAATCCCTATCTGAAGCACCACAGACAAGATAGCTGTCTCACTGAAGACACAGTACCCATGGCTCCTTACCCATTTCTGATTAATATATCAGCTTCTCTAAGACAGCCGTTTTTCTCTGAAATCACCTGAATATATTAGCTGCTTCCTGCATTGTTCAGCTTCCAGCCATGGCTGGGGCATCATTGCCTTTACTGATGGAGGGGGAAGGCTCTTACTTAACTCCCAGCAGATCTAGCCACCATCAGAGAGAGAAAGGACATCAGCTCTGAGGGACAAGGGACCTTCTTCACAGGAGGCCTTGCAAGATAGTGGGAGGGTGTGATATATGTCTCCCGAGCTCATTCTGCTTTTTTCCATTTCCAAGAATGGGACTGTGTCTTTCCTTCTCCACTCCTCCCTCCAGAGCCTAGACCTCAATCACATTGCGCATTTGACCAGGAAACCCATGACTGTTGCCCAGGGCCAGGCAGTGTCATGGGATGCAGTGTGTGGGAGACAGCAATTCTGCATCTTACTGTTCATTGCCATTTTCATGGGCAGCCAAGTGCTGCTTTTCTTCAGTCTGAGCTCTTTCAGCTCTGTGCTCTTCCTTTCCTCTGTGCTTGTTGGCAGTCAGAAGTCATCACCCTGCTCCTGGTAAGAGTCCACTTTCACTCCTAGGAGAGAGACTGCCTTCCAGGGGAGCTTCAGAACTTCACAGTGGCTCCTGATCTGTCAGCAGCAAAACATCTGTGTTGCACTGCTGTTTGCAAGAGGCTTCTGCTGGGCAGAAGGTGGAGACAGGAGTGCTTCCCCATCGGTAAGAGATAGCCCAGGGCAACCATCTGCCCTTCTAAACTCTGAGGCAGAGGCCCTTGTGGGTTTGCTTCTACAGACTGCTCATCCCAGGCTGCACAAACACCCAGGTTTTGCTGGTGTTTAGTGGGTATTGGAGGTGCTGTGGGGCTGGGGAGGTGGAGCCTGGAGGTTCAGGATGATGGATAAAGCATTACCTGTGAGTCAAGTGTGAGCAAAAGGGCACTGCACTTTTAGAAAGGATGCCTGCAGGGAGGGAGTCCATGCCCCATTGCCAGCCCCTGTGAGGAGGGATGTAAGAGCCTCACCACACCAACCAATGCCACAGGGGGCAAGAAGCCCTTTGGCGGCTGTCGGTCCAGGACAGAGCAAGGAGGTTGCCCCAGCCAGAGGTGAAGCCTTCTCGTGCTATCAGGTGTCCATCAACTTCAGTAAGTCTCAGGAAGCCCCTTCCCACTTAGACCTCTGTTCTTTTATCTCTGGCTAGTAAGCAGCTGGTGGTGAGTTTGGGGGAGTCATTAACCCAAGTGCCTCTGCTTTCCAGAAGTACCAAGGACAAAAGGAATGACCTCATTTCCCTGGCAGTTGTGCTGAGAGAAGTTATCCAAGGAAAGAGGGACTTCAGCAGCAAGGATGGGAAGCTGTACAGTGATGGGGCAGTGAAGAGGCAGGGTCCCTCTTCTTTGAGGACAGTGGTATTTGTGGTTTACTACCCCATGCTTGAGAGGCAAGTCTTGTGGTGGTAATGCATCCCAGGTGAGATGTACAGCCATGCTCCTTGCCCCTTCCAGTTAAAGATCCCTTCACATTTTTCACAGCGTTCTGGCTAAGTTACAGTCCTTAAACTTAATTACTGTCTTCTTAAATATCTGTTGCAGTCCCAATGTTATGTTTCTCTTCCTGATGTTTTATGTCGTTCTGTACCTATTGAGTAGCTGCTTTATTCCACTCCAGAAGTGGCTGCATTTTAGCAATGGTGGATATTATTTCTGTATATAGTATGAAAGTCCCTGCAGAAGAAAAGTGCAATATAAATTTAAGAGACTGCTTTTATTTACAAGGAGACCTCTGCTTGGTAGTTGTAGAAACACATTAGGAAGAATGCTGTGTGGGTGTTAGGCAACTTGATTTCCTTTTTCAGGATATAGAACAGAAAATATGTGAGTGTGCAGGCTCCTGGGTAAAAGTTGTATATATTAGAAGTAGTGAGTGCTACTGTGTAGTTACAAGTGGGGCGTACAAAGAAACTTATATTTGAAACCTCTTTTTGTAGTTGTTCATTGTATTCTGAAAAATATGCTTTTTAATTATAATTTTCTATAGTCCAGTGCAAGTTCAAATAGCAGGTCATCAACAGAACTTTAAGCCCTGGCTTTTAACAATATGAACATCAATTCCTACTGCTTGCCATGAAATACAGTTCCTGGCTGGTAATAATAATAGACTATTTTTCTTCCACAAAGATCAGCCACTGGAAAGCAATGGATCTAATATTTTCCATTTGATCTGGAGTTAAGTAATTAGGAGCACCTAAGTGCAACTCTTCCCAGCTGTATGGGATTGAAAAAATGTTTCATGTATATGAAAAACTTTGCATAGTGCACAAATGACTTGGGGAATGCTCTTGGGTCCCTTTCAACTCAGCATATTCTGGGGTTCCGTGGTTGGCAGGCATGCAGACTGGCTCCAGCAGAGCTGCACAGCGTGCTGCCTGGAGAACAGCTGTAGCAACAGTGATAGGGAGCCCTTCTTCTGGGAATTAGTTTCTTCTGGAAAGAAATATGGTAGCAATCAGGGGAAAATTGGGAGGGGGAGGCCTTCAGAATTTAGGCTGGTAATTTTTTACAAAATTATTTAGAGATGTGAGAATGAGTGTAGTAAACATGATACCAATCATATTTTATTCCCTATTGCTATTCAAAGTATTGAAATTTAATCTCTTTCTATACAAAATCTTGTCAGTGCACTACTCCAGAATTACAAAAAAAATACCACCAAAGGGAGAGCAGAATCTAGATTCCACCTCCTCAGCCTGCCCCTATCACTCTGTGCCAAGAAGCACCCAGCTTTTAGGTTGATTCCAGGTGCTTCTCAGCCTGGGGAGGACAGTCAGTGGTGGTGGTGGGAGAAGCTCCCCTCCACCACTGCCCTGAGCCTTGTCTCTAGCATGAAGTGGTCCCCATGCAAGACACTGTCAGGAGCAAGCCCTGCTCCCCATTAGTTCTCAGTGAGGCTGAGGCAGGGTATTTTACCTATGGAAATTGCCAAGGGGTACTTCATGCTGCCCTGGGCAGGGACAGGCAAAGGAACCAGGGCATTTTCCCTCCTCCATGGAGTAAATGGTGTCACCTCACCCAACTAGAAGAGAAAAACTTTTTGTTAAAGCAGAGAGCTCAGGAAGTTGCTGCTTCAGGATGCTGCTGTTTTAGTCACCTTTGTCTGTCAGTACCATGCAGATAATCCATTTTTCTCTGGAAATCCTGCAGCACCCCTTTGCCTCCCGTGTGCCTTTGGGTGTCCTAGCAACGGCATGGAGGAACATATCACCATGGGCTCTGTGCCTTGAGCTGGGTGTGGTGGGGCATGGTGCCACAGCACCTACTGATGCCTAGCTCTAGCACCCAGGGAAAAGGACCCTGCTTTTCAGTGATGACAGGCAGTTGCATTGTGAGTATTTTCTGTGAAAGGATACTCCTCCTGTCACTCTTGTTTTGGAAGAGGCCACTTTTTGTCCTTTAAACTGCCCCCATACATTGTCTTTTCCAAGCTGCCCTCAATGTGGGTGCATCCCTGTTCATAATGACAAGTGTGCAGCAGCAGGACCCTGTGCAGGCTGTTGCCATAATTTGTATTTGCTTTGGCCCAACTGATAGCTGCTCATCCTGACACAAAAGGCTTTTACAGAAGAAAAATGCTTGAGGGCTCTGGATATTGCATTTTATCCTGACCAAATTTAGACTCCATGGTAATAACTGGCAGCTGTTGGTTTCCAGCAGGGAGCTGAATAGCCTTGGTACACCCAGCATCTCAAATGATGTTTGTGGTATATGTGTGTTTCCAGTACTTCCCTTGGGATTCAGGCACACCTCCATTTAGCTGACCATCTGCCACCACCCAGCACACCACAGGGGATTTTGGGATCTTCTGATGGCTACTTATAATTTGGTATGGTCATATCAGACCACTTGTGCCCTGGAGGCTTTAAACATCCCAAGGAGCACTGTGGGACAGTCCAAGGCCACTTTTGACCAACCTGCCATTCCATAGAGGGGAAGGATGCATCTTGCAGGCAACTGTAGTCTGCAGGATAACCTCTTGGCCACGGAAAAGCAGAGCCATCCCACTCCATTTTGTCTGAGATGTGTGCTTGACATCCAGACTTTGGCCTGTGATTCAGGTGCATGCTCAGTGGTTTTGCTATCAAGCATCCTTTCTCAAAAGGAGAGAGAGCTCCAGAGACAGACAGCAAGTGAGCAGGATTTATTGTGTCCCTGTGCTGCATGACTGCAGGGAATGGGGGCTCGGTCTAGATCACCTACATTATGCTCTAGCACCTGCTCCATCTTGCTCCCTGCAGCCCTGGCAAAGCCTTAAGGGCTGGTGGGGCTGCCCGGTGGTGGTGGAGCAGAGCATGTGTTGGCTCCATCAGGGACCTAGTGTGGGGTCATGTCCTGGCTTCATCAGAGGCAAAGGAGGGCTCACAACAGTCCCATGCATGGCAGAAAGGATGGAACAGAACTTGTTTGTGTTCTCTGAAAAAGGAGAAATATGAGATCCATGGTGCATTGTCCTTTGTTTCACTGATGGCAAGCAGCAGGCACTGACCTGCAGCTTCTCAGATGCTGGGCATCTGAGAGTAAAGGAGACTACAGAAAATCCTGAGACCAGATTTCCCAGTAAAATACACTAGTCCAGCTCGAGATCCTCAGCACATCTGTACATGAAGAAGCCAGGCAAGCCACTCTCCTCTTATGGGTGATCCTTGAGGAAAGGTGCAAAGGGCTGGTCCCAGCTTATAAGCACTGTCCTCTCTGCTGCCTTTCAGGGTGAGGGTTTTCCAGCATGGGGCAGAGAACAAGGGAAAGGGAGAGATGCTGTCTTTACTGTTGCTAAGGTAGAGCTGGGTGATTAGAGTTTTTTGTAGAGAGCTGTGCAGGTCTGTGGTAAATCCAGATTTTGCTTGCATTTGCTATGGCCTATGAACAATTTGCTCCTCTGGAATGAGACAAAATGTTGTGCTTCTGTTAACTATTGTTCTAAAAGGAAATTGGGCTATGAATGACTTAGAGTGGGTTTTTTTACCTCTAGGATGGCCTAAACTTGGTATAAGACAGGGCCAGCTGGACAGCTGTCATACAGTGCCAGTGCCCAAAGCTCATGGTGATAGATGTGCCTTATGTCTGGGCCCTTGCCTGAAGCCCTGAGCCAAGTAAAAGGTATCCATCTATTCTGCTGCCCATGTGCATCTGTCCTGTCTGCCAGCTAAGTCTGTAGGAAGATAAAAGCCCTGTTGCTGCTGCTGCTGCTGTGAGCCAGTGGGGATCTGCTTTGGCTGGGAGAGATGGCTCTGGTCCTGCCATTTAGGCAGTGAAGTGGCTTCCAGTTGTATAAAGCACAGCTGTTACAATGGAGAGATACTCCAAGATCTTCAGAAGTTGCATATCTACAGCAAGCCTCATTTCATCAGCAAAGGCAGGCCCTTGGTAGGAGCTGGAATATGCCAGATGTCAGCAGTTCTGCTGCCATTCTTAGTGAGCTGCACCTCCTTTGTTCTCAGCATTACTGCAGCTCAAGGCTAAGCCCAAACTAGCTAAGAGCAAGTGCAACCCCACTTCCTCCTCTGCATTGCAGCCTCTGTAGGAAGCCACCAACTGGTTTGGTTTTCTTTTGGTGACCCTGATAAGTAAGGTGGTGCTGAGATGAAGCTGTTTCCAGGTGTTGGTTGCACTGTAAGTCCAGCACCAGCAAGGTGTTTATCTCAGTAGCTTGTAGAGGGATCAAAGCTAAAAGCTGAGGTGGGGGTCTGTTGCAGCTGCCAGAAATGCAGCAGGGAGGAGACAGGGTCCCTTTTGGAGGTGGAGTCCCCACCCTTCCCATTTCCACAGTCCATGCTCCAACTCTGAGCACCTTCAAAGGTGGGGCATTTGGTATATCATGTCTCACTGGGCCTTGTTGTCAAGAGCCAAACAGAGGGACATCCAGGTTGTAGCAGCATGGTCAGCTCAGGCAGCACCTAGATTGTGCTGAGAGGAGAATACAGATACCATTCTGTCTGTAAAATGCCACAGGCATTGACAGGAATAGTGTTTGGGTCTTTTGTATGGTGGCAGCACATACCACACAGAGACTGAGCAAGGGATTGTTGAGCACATTTCCCTGGGAAAATTCAGATGCTCTTGAGGGAAGGTATTTACAGACCAGGAGCAAAGAAGCTTTCCCATGCATGTAGCATCCTGAGACAAGAAGATTCAGAGTTTGCTGGAGGTGACCTTTTCCTCTCATCAAACCTTGTTTGTTCTTCTTTGCTGCCTATCCGCAGCTTCTCAGCACATTAATGTAATTGCTGGTGTTAAGACTGGGTAAAGTGGCTTAGTGTCAGTGCTTTCAAATAGATGAGTTTGGCCTGTTTTCCAGTTTTCTGGATCTTATAGATGTACCATCTCATTCCAGGGGGCCCTACAGCATGCATTCATCTCAAGACATTCCCTAAAAGCTGTGAATGCTACAGATATATGGTTCTTCTTTGTGGTTTTAGTCACAGCCCTTCCCTGACAGCATGGAGACAATCTCTAATTTCTAGATGGAATGGGAAATTTGGTGCCAACATGTTTTTGCTTGGGTCCTTTTTCCCAGTCAGAACCATCCTGACCGTATCACAATACACATAGCAGAGGAAAGGGGCCATCATCCAAGATATAACTGTCTCATGGGGAAGCAACTCTAACATCTGCCTTTGGCCAGAAGTGAGCATTAGATAGAGATTTCCACACTCTTTCTCACTCCATGCTCCTTACTAACCCTCACCAAGTGTTTAATTTCCAGCCTGGAGAGACAGCAGCAGATTTCATCCCTGGATCCCATAGAAGGGGATTACACCAAAATCCCATCCTCAACTTCCAAGGTGCAGGGAGACCCAGCTCAGGCCCAACAATGAGCCACTTCAGTGGGATGCAGTTCCAGTGGGACTACATTGCCTCACACTTCCAGGTCACCAAGGCCAGTAAGAAAGTGTTGGTTGACCTGACAGAAGTGTTTGGAAACAGCCCCCCAAAACTGGAGTGACAGACAGTCTGTTTGGGGATACTGTGGAGGAGGGAGGGAGGTCCTCTGGTGTCTCTTGGGTTTTTTGCTATCAGTATCCTAGGTGGGGATCCTGGGACACATCCTCATCTCCACCCACCTCCCTCATTGCCACCATGTCTTGTCCCATCCCCACTCCACATCTCACAGAGTGTCACTGCCACCACTGAGTAGAGCTGAGACCCTCTTGCCACCATGATACCAAGCTGTCCATGTTAAAAGCACAAAACTCAAAGGGACTGAACTGAACCTTTTAAACAGGGTGAGATGTTTTATAAGCATTGCTTCATCCACCACCTCCCCCCAGCCCCAGTGCACCTGCCATGTAACTTACAGACTCTCTGTGTGGATTGTTTAATTTAAATAAAGCTGCAGTACTCAAGTGGGTGAGCCTGTGTGTCCCTCTCTGTGGGGTCGGGGTGGCAAGGTGCAGCCTGCAATTAGTGCTCACAGTGGCTGTGGCAGGGAGGAGCTTGTACTGCTGCCCAGCACTGAGACATGTGCCAGTGTTTGACCCTGAGCCTTCCCAAAACATCTGGTTAAGTCCCTGGCTAAGGCTTCTCAGATTCACTCAAACCCCAGCACAGGGGCTGGGCAAAGGACATGGCACAGGCAGGTTTGGGGTAGTTTGTGCCAGGGAAGCCTTGTGAAGGGAGTGTCTCAGAGCTCTCCCCTGATGTTCTCTTATCCAGCACTACTCCTGCCTTTTCTAAACCTCTCCTTCCCGTCCCAGACCTGCAGCTGTTGAAACTGATGGCTTCTGATCACACTACTCAAAACTGGTCCTTTTGTCCTTTGTTCTTGACTTCTCCCACAAGAAGATGAGCCAAGGCAGCAGCTCCAAAACTAATAGGTATGAAACAACCCAACAGCCCTCGGTCTGTCACTGTGGTGCCAGGGCCCTTTGTCCTGGTACTCCCCTCCACCCCAAGGTCTCCAGAATGGGTCCAGCTACTCCATGGACCCATCAGAGAATGGGCAATGACAACCATGACCCATGTGATGGCTAAGATATTCTTGGGTGAACGTGTCTTCTCTTGCAGGGCTACTCAGCTTAGACCCTAAGTTAGCTTGGCCCCATCAGAACCCTTAAGAGCAATATTTAAGAGAACTGAGTGTGAAAGCCAAACGTTGTTTTGCTTTACATACCACATTCACTGAACCTCACCAGATTCTAGAACAAAAACAGCACCCAGGTGCCTATTCTGAGCTGTGGAGAAGTGGATCACATAAACTACAGCCATACCCTCCACTTCAGCTGGTGTTAATGATGACTACATGCCATCTTCAGCTGCCTGGAGAAAGTTGGGGATACGGCTCAAAGCAATGCAAAAGGGTCTTCCAAACTAAACCAGCATTTTCTCTCTTATGTTTCCCTCACAGCAAACAGTTGTGAAACCCACTGGCAAAGAGGATGTTTGGTTTTATGATTCTGTAAAAGTAATCATGCCTAGTAAATGCTTCCTTTTTCCCCTCTTGTAATGAAAAATAACTGTTTCAGATGAGAGTCTGAAGGGAGCTGGATACTGGAATTACTATGGTGATTCAGGTCAAAGTGCTGGAAAGCACTCTTAAACAAATATATGTATATGTATATACATACATATATATACATATATATATACACATACATATATACATATATAGAGAGTATGTATGTATGTAACATACATATGTATTATATTTGCATATATATACATGCACACAGCACTCATCTGTCTCATTTCTGCCCAAGTTCAGCTCACCCCTGTCATGCACATGTTGAGACACCAAGTCCCACTCTACCATGACTCTTCCTCAGAGCCCCTCTCCCTTCGCACACAGGCCAGAACAGCTCTGAGGCTGGAAAGGGACTGGACAGGAAAGCAGGCTGTATTTTGAAGGAGCAGGCACAGGCTGGGAGGGAAATGAGGTAGAGGGAGGCAGCCAAAGAGGGAAAATGCAAGATTGTTTAAAATCACCCAGAGAGCTGGGTGGGACTCCAGCCTTTGTCCTGGAACTTTGCATTTTTGTCATTAATTGTTAATTCTTGCTGTTTTAGTTGTCCCCATACTAGATCTGCTTCGCAGAAGCACTCAGAAATTTTTTGTGTGTTGTCAGCTGTAAAATGACACACACTGTAAAAGCCTGGGCTCTGTCTGCTCTCTCAGACAGAGCACCACCATTAGGGATTACTTTTGATAACCTAGAATTTACTGTTTCTGTGTGCCTGACACCCCATCTGTGGTCACTCTCACTACTACACACTAATATGTTCCCGAGCTTTATGTTGCAATTCTTCCCTAAGGGAGAAGAGGATGTGCTGGCGGATTAGAAACCAGGTTGAGGTTCAGGCTGTTTCTGCAAGGTGCCCTGTGCTATTGATTGTACAGCTGCTACAGCTCAGTCCCTCGTGTGTGCACAGTAGACAGCAAGATCACCTCCAAAGGTAGAAGCAATGCTAATTTTGTTAAAGCTGGATCACTGGGAATACCCACCAAAAGGGCCACAAGGGAGTGAGCCATTTTTGTCTTTGGCTTGGTGATTTGATGCTGTGCAATAAATAAAGCCTGGAGCCAGACAGTGAGTGATGAAGATTGAACGGAGTATTGACTGCATGCTCAAGTGAGTAGAGCCCCTCATGTGAAACCTGCAGAAACATGAGTCATACAGTCATTAAGAAGAGAACTGTAATGCAGACAAATGGATGCTTCACTGCACATTTGCAGGCTCCAGACTAGTTGAGCATGGAATGCTGGCTTTGCACCATTATACACAATTTTCTGGCAGGCTCCTGATCTAATTCAGGGCTGTCCTGGTGCTTGGCAGAGGCTGTTTACCACTTTGCCAACACATGAACCCTACTCTCACAGTCTCTTCCCCTCTCCAGGCAGGCAGCAGAGGAGATATGGTGCTTCTCCCAGGAGCCACCAGCATCTTGCAGGAAGGGGTGAGGAGCACAGCTCAGTATGGGAGTTGCTGAAAAGTAGCTCCTGACACTAGGGAGGTCCTAAAGGCTCAGAGCACCAAGCTGAGATGGCAGAGACCAGATTTGTGTGAACAGTCATGCTTAGCAAGGGGAAGGATGGGAACCACTCATTTCCTGCCAGATGTCTGGGATTGGATATGAGGGTTAGGTGGAGGGACAAGATGTAACTCTGATCTGTGCTAGGCTGTGCCTCAGTGAAGAGAGGTGGTGGGTGCCAGCAAGGTGGTAAGTGTGTGAAAGCAGAGAAGGTAAGGCTGTGTGCATGCAGGTGCATCGGGTGTGCCACACATATCCATGGAATTGTACATACATGCAACGTCTGTGTGAGTTTCAGCATATTATTTCAGCATATCCTTTGCTACCCTTTTTCCCTATTCCTCTCTTCCTACAAACTCCTAAGCAAAGATGTCTGGCCACAGGTCTATGCCATTTTCCCAGAATGGAAGAGAATACTTGTTATGAGCCAAAACCACAGAAAATGCAACAATCTGGATTTTAAATATTCTGACCCTGTTATTTTAACAAGACCAGAGAAAAAAAAATAAATGGTGCTGACTGGAGAGGAAGATTTATGGCTTGTAAGACAAGACCAGGATTTGTAAGCAGAGCAAAGTGACCCAAAAAACAGAGAAGATTTAGAGGTACAGGCTGCAGCTGCAGCCCACCACAGGAACACCCTGCCAGCCCACGTGAGCCCCAGAGCCCAGAACCCAGAGCAGAGCTGGGTCCTGATTCTGGCTGGGAAAGCCTTGTCTATCAGCTCAGTGAGGATGGCAAGGGGGAGACCTGTTGGATGAGCTTATCCATCTGACAATGGAGGGGGCACCTCCTTCCAGCCACATTTCTCCACACTCTCACACTCTCCCATCATGTGGCCCTGTACACATGCCACACGCTCATTCCCATGAGGGCTCTGACTGAACCTGACTCCTTTCCCCAGCCCTTTTCTGTCAGTGATAGCCTTGTGCTGATGCCAGCTACAGCTCATTCCTGGATTTTCACTACCGCTGGATCTCTGATCTCTGGGAAACCCTCCTCCCTCTATGGCCTACCAGCAGCACTGTCCCACCTTGTTTGAGGACAGCCCCCTTGACTCCCTTCAGCCTCTCTTGGCTGCATCTTGATCCTCTGCTGCACTTAGGACTCTCAGTGGAAGGAGGCAGACAGTGCAGTCTGGTCCCCTGGGCTCACTGCCCTAACCTGCTGCACCAAGGGCTCGGGGATGTTGTAGCCCTCCCACTCCCTCTACTTATGTAGCATAAGTCAGGATCAGTGCCTGCTCCTGCACATCTGGTTTGGCACTGAGCCAGTACTGCTCCCTACCATGGAGAGGGAATGGGGATTAATTAGCTAATTATTTCACGCTGCGTTGAGAAGAGACAGGTTAGCCCAGAGCTTGATACCTTGCAGCTTGGTGGCTATGATGGGGGATTCCAGGGCAGGCTGAAGGTTTTGGCAACTGGAGTTCAGAGATGACCCATACATCCCTGCAGGGCTTTTTCACATCCCATGTGAGCCCCTGGGCATGAGGCAGATGCATCACAGATTGTTCCATGAAAAAGCCAGACTAACATGCCTCTGAAAGCTTTTCTTGAGAGTGGACAAGGAAGAAGGGCCAGGGCTGCTCCTGCATGGTGTAGGGCTGCAAGTAAAGCCTGTCAGCAGACCACAAAGCAGATCAAAGGTATCACCTCCTGCTTGTGCAAGCATCAGAAAATGTTCCATACCATTGAGAAGGAAGGGGGTCCCATCCCATGCCTGAACATTGAGCTGCAGCCTCTGAACAGGCTCCTGCCCTGTTTCAGCCTGGTTGGCATCTGACCTGTTCAACCAAGACCAGTTTTTATGTTCTCATAGGCTGCCCTGGATTATTTCAACTTCATCTGCCTCTGAAAAGAGCTACACTGCAGAGAAAAATCTCTGGGGTATCCTTCATCCAATAGATTTACACTAATAAGACTCTGCCTTTTCTAACCCAGTGTCCTTAATGGGCTTTGCAGCAAGCCAGAGCCCTGCTATCCGTATGAGTAGTGCCTAAAGCTTATTGTATGTCCCTGTGCAGCTCCAGCTATGCCTGATGCTCTGAGAGCCAAAACCGAAGTCAGAGCTAAGCCAGAGCCAGGCAGTTGCCTTCAGCTCCAAAGCAAAGTGCAGTCACCAGGCACACTGGCTGCACTGCTGTGGGTGACTGCCTCTCCTTAGCCCAGATATTTCTGAGAGAGCTCAGCATTTAACCAGAAAGAGCTGAGGGCTTCTAAGGAGATATGGGAGCCTTGGACAACTGCAAGTGGACAAGGATCTGCCTACTATACCCTTCAGATAGTTAGGCATCACACCTACAGCACTTAGAGCTTACCACAAGCAGCAGGGCTTGTGCAGCAGAGAAGCCATCAGTGGTACATGGGCTGCCCAAGGGGA